TGAGGAGGTCGTAGAACTTGGAGCAGGAGGTGGCCAGGAAGATGCGATGGGCAAAGACCCGGTGCCCGCCCTGCAGCTGGAAGAGCACGTCGGCGCACAGGGAGGTGGAGAAGAGGGCTGCGGGGCCCTGGCCTCCTCTGCAGATGGGCTCTGGGACGTGGATGACAGGTGGGGGCGGCTTGGGGGGCAGGAAGGGCGCCTGCAGCAGGGGCTTCTGCATCTTCTTCAGGTGGGACTTCCAGAACTGCAGGTGGCGGCGGGAGATGAGGGCAGCCCGGATGGCGTTGTCAAAAACATCCTTGATGCCGAACTGGGCCACCACACTCGTCTCGTAGTACGGCACCCCCAGCTCCTTGGCCACCTCGTGGCCCCGCTCCGGCGGCAGAATGTCTGTGGGCCGGATGGGCCTAGCAAGAGAGAGGAGCAGGGGGTCACAGCACGGGGCCCTGCCTGCCCCATGGACTGGGCACGGGGACGAGGGGCACCGCCCGGGAGGGGATGCCAACGCTCAGCTGGGCACGATGGGTCTCGGACCCCCCCCTCCACACAGCCCCCCCGGGAACGGGGCCACGCCAGGGCAGCGGCCGCATGTGGCCCCTGCTCCTCCGAGCCCCGGCCAGGGGCTCCTTACTTGGCCAGCGGGCGCCGGGCACGGTTGACGGCCTCCAGGTCAGCATAGCGCAGGTCCAGCTGGCAGCCGACCAGCACGATGGGCGTCCGTGGGCAGAAGTGCTTGATCTCCGGGAACCACATGGTCTTCACGTGGCGCAGGGAGTTGGGGTTGGCCAGGGAGAAGCAGAGAACCACCACGTCCGACCTGCAGGCGGGCACAGAGCAGCGCAGCCTGACACCCACCGCCCCGCCTGCCTCAGCCCCACCTCGCCCTGGCACGGCCCCACCGGCTGGCGGCTGCATCGTTCCTGAACCCCAGGACTCGATTTCGTCTCTTCTCTTCAGGTTTGCCCTGCCCAGCCCCCAGGCCCTGCCCCCAGCCAGGTGGCGTCTCTGCCTCTGGGAAGAGCCTTGTTACCTGCTCAGGCTGGGCCATACCTGCGTGGGGGAGTCAGTGGGAATGGCACAGCGCAGCGACCCCGGCTTGCAGAGCAGCCCCCCACTACCTCACCCCCAGCAAGCCAGGAGTCTGGGGTCTTGGCAAGCACTTCTTCAGCCACTTCCCCCGCTGCTTCAGCTCCTCGCTCCACACCAGAGAGGGCCGCATTTCAGAGCCAGGCAGCAGTGCCTGAGAGGTGCTTGAGGGGACTGGTCCAGCAGGGCTACCCTCAGGCCAGGCGAGGGCCCCGCCCCCAGCA